GTGTACAAAGTATCAAATGGGTGTCATAGTAAATCAGTGCAATAACAGTTAAAAGGAGAGAGCAATAAAGATTGTAACTGTCAGGAGGAGGGGCTGAGTGATGGATCTTTAAAGATAGGTAGAATTTGGAGAATTATGAATTCACTTCTAAGTAATAAGACAGATGGGTAAGTAAATATATTTCAGTGGTGTGACAATAGAAGTGTGCTTGAAAATCACAGAGAGGAGCACAGAATTCAGAAAGTTGTGATGGGATAAGAATTTAAAAAGGCGTCCCAAAAGAGAGATTTTTTTTTAGCTGAGTTTTGGTGGACAAGTAGGAGAACAGCTAGATAAAAAAGAGAAAGAAACACAAATGCAAAGGCTCAGAGACATTAAGAACTTGATGAGTTCAGGCAAATAGATAGGAACTACAAATATTGCACATGGCTGGAGTGAAGGATGAGTTTGGGCAAAAGGGGGTAGACAGGAACCAGAAAGTAAAGAACCATATGTGCTTAAGGAGTTTAAATTTTATGATGAAAGACATTAGAGGATTGTAAGCTTTGAGGGGAGGAGTGACATGATCAGATTTGTATTTTGGAAAGATCACTCTAATTATAGCATAGAATAACTTTGAGGTTTCTGACTGGATGGTGATGTCATTCACTAAGGGAACACAGGAGGAGCAGATTGAGAAGAAAGATTTTGAGTTCAAATTTTGCATGTGTTAAGCGTGGAGTGTTTATTTAATTTCCTAGGGCTGCTGTAATAAATAACAAAGTACCACAAACTTGGTGGCTTCAAACAACAGAAGTTTATTCTTTCATGGTTCTAGAGGCTACAAGTCAGAAATCAGCAGCGTGGGTTCCTTCTGGAGGCTCTGAGGGAGAATCTGTTCCATCTCTCTTTCCTAGTTTCTGGTGGCTGACAGCAATTCTTGGCTTTCCTTGCCTAGTAGACAGATCACTCCAATCTCTGCCTCTGTCTTCACATCATCTCCTCTGTGTGTGTTGGACACAAGGACACCTTCTTATAAGGGCCCACTCTAAATCCAGGGGGATCACATCTCCTGATCCTTAACTTAATTACATCTGTGCCTTAGCCCATTTGGGCTGCTATAACAGAACACCATAGACTAGATGGCTTATAAACAACACAACTTTATTTCTCACAGTTCTGGAGATTGGGAAAGTCCAAGATCAAGGTACTGGGAGATTTCATGCCTGGTGAGAGCCTATTTCCTGATTCACAGATGTCACCGTGTCCTCACATGGTGGAAGGGACAAACAAACTCTCTTGGGCCTATTTTATAAGGGCACTAATCACATTCATGAGGGTGTAGCTAATCACCTATCACTCCTACTATGGTTTGAATATATCCCCCAATATTCAGGTGTTGGAAACTTAATTCCCAATGCAACACTGTCAGGAGGTGAGGCCTTTAGGGAGGTGTTTAGGTCATAAGGGCTCTGCCCTTACAGATTGCCATTAAAAGAGGAATCGATAGAGTTTGGTCCCCTTTTGCCCCTCCACCTTCTGCCATGTGAGGTCATAGTGTTCCTCCCCCTATGGAGATGAGGTGTTCAAGACACCATCTTAGAATCAGAGACGGCCCTCATCAGACAACCAAACCTGCCAGCAACTTGACCTTGAACTTCCCAGCCTCCAGAACTGTGAGGAAAAAAGTTCTGTTCTTTGTAAATTACCCAGTCTCAGGTATTCTGTTATAACAGCAAAAAACAGACTAAGACAGCTCCCAAAGGCCTCACATCCTAATACCATCACATCAGGGGCTAGAATTTCAACGTGAATTTTGGTTGGGGGGAGAGGGGCGACACATTCAGTGTATAGCAATCTGCAAAAACCCTATTTCTAAATAATATCACATTCACAAATATTGGAGGTTATGTCTTGGATATAT